CAGGAAGCTCAAAAGGGTGTGTGTTTACAGAGCACATGTGATCTTTTTATTGCATGGTTGAGAACGGTTCTTCCATGCAATATTGAATTCTTGTGCACGCTCTCACCTTCTGAGCCTCCTACAATGTTCCCCGAATTTAACCAAAACTTTTTACCAACATGATTCTTTCCTAGAATCCAGAAAAAATTAGGAATAAACAAACAAACAAACAAATAAAACAGTGTCCGACACCTGCAAATCGAAGAATGACACTGGCACCTGGCAATAGGGACACCCATTCCCATCAGCGACCTCAGTCATGAGGCAACTCAGGTCTACAAAGCTGTCAGCTGAATGGAGTGAACAGAATAGTAGAAAAAATAAGATGGTAGCTGCTACTGCCCCAGGAATGTGACAACGTGACTGCCCTCCACACTCTTCCAGCACACACTCACATTCTAAATCTCTCTCCTTCTCCACCCGCCCTTTCTTACCAGATCACCAGCACTCACCCACTGCTACTTCTCTGCACCTTTTCTTCTCCTTCATCTTCCGCTCAGCTCAGGTACTCTTCAGTCCCAGTTTGAAAGGGGAAAGGAGAAGCTGCAGGGAAGCAGTAGGCTACTTCTAAGCCGGGATAGCTGCGGGTGAGGGGTGGGGAGTGCCCTGTCTGTGAGCTCTAGGTTATGAAAACTACCTTTGTAGGTGCTTTTAGAAAGACCCAGAAGAATGACCAAACTGCTTGTAGATGCCCAGAAGGAGAATGAAGTGTTTCAAATAGCAAGTCTGTGAATTCTCAGAAAGAGCAGATATTCCAAGTGCACTGTGGCCAGGGAAGTTCTCTCTCTCTCTCTCTCTCTCTCTCTCTCTCTCTCTCGTTGTTAATTCAGTCATCAGGTGATGAATTAATATTGATGATGCTTGTGTGACTTTTTATGAGCAACTCTGTGTGCTTCTAGCAGGCTTTCCCATCACTAAACCAGAGGCTTCTTTGTAAAGGAGAAGCAGTACTTGCATAGATTTAGTTAGTGGCAAACACTGCCCAAGGAGACTTTTGAGCCAGTGGTTCAATACCTTATCAAAATCACTACCCTCCTGATTCAAGAGGACTGGAATGGGGCCAAGAATTGGCATCCCCAACAAGTTTCCAAGTGATCAAATGCACCTGGTCCAGGGACACTTTGAGAATCACTGTTTTGGGATCTTTCTAATTAAGGAAACAGTGAATGAAAAGAAAATATTGCAGAAGGGATTACTTTCCTTTGGAAGTTGCATGTTCTGGGCTCTAGTTTAGTTTTCTATTCTCTGCAGGTTGGCATGCAGTGGCTTCTTAATAAGTAAATGGCAGTCTAGACATCAAACCGCTTGTCCTAGAAAAATAAAAGATTCCTTTACCCTGGTGTGTGCACCCATGTTGTACTCTTAAAGACAGATATCAATCATCAGGTGATGACGGGAGGGCCAGCAGGTGCCTTGGTAGTGAAGGCATTGGACTCCCACATAGCTGACTGTGGGTCCTGGTTTGAGTACCAGAGTACCAGACCTGATGGCTTGCATTCTTACTTTCCCTCTTTCTCTGGTCAAATTGAATACAATAATAAAATCAGATAGATTCTTAAAAAAATAAATCTGGGTGGATTGGGGCTGCTGTTGGCTCTGATCTGACCCATAAGGGAAAGATCAGTCTAGGAGGAGCCCCAGCCTCGCCCTCTGCAAGAGGGTTTCGCTGTTTATCTCCAAGCCAGAAAAAAAAATGGCCTCATCACTCCAGTGGTAGTAGTGGGGTTTACTCTGGTTCAGTGCCCTGAGTGTTGGAACGCGGCCTGGGGGTCGGGTGCAGACTCCAGATGTGGTGCACCAGGGGAGTTAGCGGACTGGGAGACTGGTGGAAGAGGCCCTCTGCAGCCTCTCTGCAGGAAGAAGAGTTTAGAAATAGGCGGGAAAAGTAGGGAGGAGCCTCGTAGTTTCAACCCCAAACCTACAGGGCCTCCGTCCTTCCCTTTCCGGATGCTGTGTCAGGGGCAGCGGGTGCGTGTCCAGCTGCGACTCGCTCGCCTCAGAGACTCCTTCCCGGGCAGGTTCTGCCCTCCCAATCCCGAACACAGGCAGAGGCAGGACACAGTGGCCGGCGCATATCCTCAATTTTTCATCCTTCCCTCTGAATGCTGGCTCTGCCGATGGACACTCGCTGGGTGCCAGGGTGCAGATGGATACTCGCTGGGTGCCAGGGTGCCAGCGGCCTTCCTGAGAGTGGCTTTGGTTTCCACCAGGCTCCTTAGCTAGACCTACCTTTAGTCTTAAGATTTGAGCAGGCTTGGCTGGTCTACTCTCCACTCGGTCCAACGAGGGGTTAAATACACCATGAACTAGTTTAAGAAACCTTCCTAGGGCAAGGAAAGAAGAAATGGGGAAAAGCAGAGGGGGAAACCCTTCAGAAGGTGGCTCTGTTATGAGACTAGACTTCTCAGAGAGACTTCACCTGGTCTTTTGAACCCAGTACTCTTGTAAGGCCAGACATCTCAATGTATGTTGAGCAGTCATTAGCTTTTTTGAGCCTATGGAGAAGGAACTAGGTAAGATAAAGGGCAGTTGTGGAGGAAGCGGAGGTGGAGAAGGGGAGAATTTACATTAGGGCTGTTGCTAGAGTTAAATTGAACTTGAGGGACCAACAATGGCCTAATAGTTAGGTCTCTGGACTCCCACATAGTAGACCACAGTTCAAGTCCCAGACCCTGTGACTTTTAAAATTCACATTGGGCATGCGTGTGTGTGTGTGTGTGTGTGTGTGTGTGTGTGTTTGCACCCAAGATCCCAAGAGGATAATGGAGGAGAAGGGATTGCAGCATGGTCATCACCCCTGGAGGGTGATTTCTCTTTCTGTCTCTTTCTGTCTCTCCCACAAGCACACATGCCCTATACCAAAAATCTCTCTTTAAAAAAATTTTGACCTTGAACCTCTTATGTTGAAGTCTCAGGACACACTTGACACAAGA